TCCAGAGCTGTGCAGAAGGAAACACGTCGCGTGGGGAGCATTTAAGAATATCGAGGGAGTAGTGAAGAAGACAAAGAACATCCGGCTCCGCGCTCACCTTTTCGACACTGCTGTCCTTCCTGCTTTGACGTACGCCTCGGAGACCTGGGCTCTACGAAAGCAGGATATGCTGTCAGTGTTATTCAACGCGCTTTGGAAAGGACGATGCTCGGAATTTCCCTATACACGCAAGTGCAGAAGGGAATCCGGAGTTCCGAGCTCCGTCACCGAACGAAGATCAGGGATGCCGTTGATTACGCCAAGAAATCGAAGATTAGGTGGGCCGGACACGTTATGCGATATAGTGATGACCGTTGGACCAGGGCGGTTACTGACTGGATCCCTCGGGACATCAAACGAACTCCAGGAAGGCCGCCAACGAGATGGTCAGACTTCTTCACGAAAGCTCTGAACGAAAGGAATGTTGAACCTCGTGTCCCTGAAGCGAGAACGGTTCACTGGACCACTCTGGCTCGTGACAGGGACGAATGGAGACGTTACTGGCGCCCGCTCGAGGAATTCGATGATCAACGGGACGACAGGTGATACAGGTGATGTAAGTAGGATGTTCGGCTACTTTGTTCAGATAACGCCATCTTTTCAGTTGATTCTGCATGTGGTCATCACAATCATATTTATTGTAGTTATTGCTCCGATTCGCCCTCCCCCGGTATTAGTCAGAGAGTGCACCTCCTTCTTGTACAGGTCAGAGGCTTCTGTGTTGAACTGAGAGCAGCTTTACACTTTGAAGAATTTGCAGCCCTTTGCTAGCCATGTAATCAACCTCGCCAGACCTTAGCCACATATAGCTACAAAGACATGCACTAACGAAGGGAATCACGAAATTGCAGGGACCATTCAAAGTGGAAGTATGCCACCATAGAGCTTTCAAACGCTGATTTTGATCCATATTGCAAATTTGCGAAACGGTTCTGACAATAAAATTACCCAACACTTCGACTACGAGCCGATTTTTTCCATGCTGGCGCGCGAAAAACGAGACAGTTCTTTTGTTAGAAATTTGGGTGAAAATGTAGTTGGAGACACGGTTCACGACAAAAATGGTTACTGAGTTCTTCCCGAGGAATACTGGCCCCAAGGGTAATAGAAAGTACCCTCCGCGCCCAAAATTTCAACGGTTAGGGCATAGTGGAAGCCCTGTTCCTGGCTCGCGCTGCCTTCCGGCCTCTCGACCAATGTCACGTCAGACTAGTGTCGAGACGATACAGATTGCAAATTTTCGCTCTGGGACCCACACACACTGGGCTGATCGCCGAGTAACGAGTGGTGATTTCCTCCTATTCTTTTGCTCTCCAATATTCTTTTTGCTGTTGCTACCTTTGCTGTTATTAATTCTCTACTCCAACAGGCCGAAAAAGTTGGGCTGCTGTGACTAGGGGTTTTTGTTAGCTTTGCTTATGAGTGAATGAATTTTTGCCTATCGTAGTCAGTTATTCGCACCAGTGCTCACACTACGCACTGACAGACATTGTATAGCTCTTCCAAACGCCCATTTCTTCCCCAATTTTCTGGTCTTACCCTCGTCTAGCCTCCCTTTAATCGTTTTTCACCCTTTTTTCACGTCAAAAACACCGATTCACGCAGTTCTTTCGCCTTCACCGCACTATTTTCCATCTTATCTTCCTTTTTCGTCATAATCTGGATTATCCAAAGTTATCGTGAACTGTGCTTCTGACCAAGGAGGGGTAGTCTACTTATCTTGGAACTTTGAATGGAGACCCAGATGAATCGATAGAGTTTTGAATGCTGTTTACGAAAATGGAAGTTAAAACTGCAAAATGGTTCGCCTTAAAAAGTTATGGGGGCTCGAATTTTGCTCGACAGTACCATCATTTGGATATGCGAACTCGTTGCTCCGATATCAAGGGCCCACGTGGCATCGTGGCAGTGGTCTCGCTCTTAGGCGAGGTTTTGCTCCCCGCCATTGCCCGCACTTTTGCTAAGTGTTTTTTCATTTCATCAAGGGCTCCCTAAATGTTTTCTGACACTTTTTTCAGTGAACACCTCATTTCTGCTTTTATTTTCTCTCGTCGCCCCTATTCAAAACACTTCGCATATCCAATTGATGGTACTGTCGAGCAAAATTCGGGCTCCCATAACTTTTGAAGGAAAACCATTTTGCAGTTTTAATCTCCATTTTCGTAAACAGCATTTAAAACTCTATCGATTCATCCGGGTCTCCATTCAAAGTTCGAAGATAAGTAGACTACCCCTCCCTGGTGAGGGGGATGGGGGGAGGGGGAGGAAAGGTCAGTATATTAAAAAATGAAGTCGGTCCAACGTGCCAATCCTTGTTATATTAGCATATATTAGCACTGTATCACACATGAAGAGGACAATGGGCACCGACCAACTGTGCTCTTTTTATGGGATCTAGTCAAGGAAAAGTAATAGGTTGATGCATAATTATTGCTGATTTTTCGCGGCTTCTTTTCTCTCGATACAATTTGAATATTGAATTTGGGAATTTATAGAAATAATCTTCTTACTTTCCCTAATAGAGATATGTCTAGAAAGTGATCTTCATATACGCCACATTATGCCCTATTACTTCGAGGAAGGTTGGAAGGTGGCGAAGTCATAAAGTGATCTCAGCCAGCATCCCGGCGATCGAACAGACAGCCAAAGTCGAATAAAGAATGATATCGCTTTTTACGTTCGTCCTATTCACCAGCAGAAACTATTTACTATAGATTATCACGTCAATCGTCCGTCGAAAAATTGGCTGGCGAACAGGACTTCGACGAAATGCATGACTTGATGGCCAACGTCAAGGCGTGGATCGCCTCCAAGAATCGAATCTTCTTCACCTGTGGAGCCTGACTACCTAGCAAATGGGAAGCAGTGCTTGACGTACATGGTGGATGCGTTTCGAATTAATTATTTGAACATATCTTTGCTAAATATTTCTTCCGTTTCTTAAAGTGAAATTTATTGAAAAAATCCGCAATAATTATGCATTGACCTAATAGACCTAAAACACCTAAGTAGGGTGTGAAATACATGAAAAAAGAAAGTATTTGGCAAAATATTTTGCAAAATACATGAAAAGAGAAAGTATTTTGCAAACCCACTAGCATCCTCTGCTATATACTAATTTCAAGATAAAGCCAAATGTTACACGCACTTAATTTTTGACAACTAGGACATATCGTGGAGACTTACCAAGCGCGCTTCCTCTGTAGAACGCTGTGTCGTGGTGTAATCTTGTTTGGTCGTGAAAGCAGCAGCCAAGTTAAGACTCTTGAGGTTAACAATATTAGTGATCTGCGCATTTTCAAAGTGTTCTGTGAGGAATGTGTTATAAAGCGAACGGCTGAAAGTACATAATTAGTCAGTGAGGAAACAGACTGAGGTCAATTATCAGACTGCTCACGGTGAGTTGTCCTTCTCTTCCTTTTTCTTGGGTTGAGCCTCCTTGAGCGGCTCTAGCTTGGGTGCTGGAAATATCGCGCTGTAGTCTCTACCAAATACCAAATGTAACGTCTATGAAAACGTAGAGTGTGCAAGTTGAGGGACCAATAAGGTAAAGGGCGAGTTGTGAGCGGCTGTTGTGAAATCAGAACTCTCTGGTGTTGCACGATGCCTTGAGTTTTACATACGGGGCAGCATTGTCAGGTTTGTTGTTGTCTCATCACTGTCAGGTCAAAAAATGACTCTAGGAAGGGACAACAGGGACCCTAATATCGGCAGCGCCGGTGACCCCATCCAACGTTGCGGTTTTCCAACGACCTTGTAGAGGCTGTACATTCATAATGAAGAGTGCATGTGCAATTTCAAGCAGACGATTGCTCTTGGCCTAACCCTCTGCGATAAAAGATAAAATTACTGCAGCCGACTCTTAACACAATCGCGCACGAGAAATTTCCGAACACTCCCTTCGCTACCCTCATATTAAGTAATGTATTTGTAAAATGGATACTGCCATCCCCTCGCTTTCTTCACCTTTGGTGCACTATTCATTCCATTTTTCTGCTGTGCTTAAAAATCATTGTGAACTGGGCCTTTGAGCGTCCCAGAGCGCTATCCGTCGCATCACAGGACCCCTCTGTCATCCATCATGTCCAGGACGTTGACGTCTAGTTCTCTCCACAATTATAGAAAGGCTGTATCTTTACGGGTGCTTCTCTGAAAAAGCCCACGTTTGACTTTGTGCTGTCTTCAGAACTGCGGAACTTGGCCTTTTTTATACTTATCCGAAGACCAATCTTCACGAGCACATCCCTAGAAGAACGCCCTAAAGCCCTAGCCCGTCCTATACACTCTTCATATCACTATGTATAACAGATTTGCTATCACATTTCACGGATGTAGTCCACTGAGGCGGCGGAAAGGGGAAAAAACGTGGGCGAAAATTCGCCGGTACTTGATCAAAGCTTCAGTGGAGGTGCTGTGTTGGGTGTTGGCTTCCTCCTGTATCTCGAAGGTGTATCCATGCATACGTGGGCGGTGAGTATGCAAACGCAGTTGGCATTCTCCAGATCGAGTCAGCCAAGAGCTTGCATACGAGTGACTTGGAAGTATCCGGAGGCAATTTTTGTCGCCCCTAGAATCAGAGTCCCTTGCCCAATATAGATCGTTCTACTTTGCTAGCATCCGGGTACAACCCAGCCCAACGTCCAGCCCTTGTATGTTAGTTGTGGGTCCACATATGCCAAAAATAGCCACACAACTGGGCCTCCTTCTCCTGAACCTAAGAACTAAGATGGCGATCTGTATTTTCGACGCACGAACGCAAGACGCACGATCGGTAGCAAGCAATGAGGAGCGCAAGCAAGTGAGATCAAGTACGACGTCACGACTGATCGAGACGAGGTGGAATTGATCGCTGCACCCATCTTCGAGACTGAGGAAGAGCAGTTTCTCGGAACATGCGACACCAGAGGCGTCAATGGTGTACGAGTCATTCTTATTACGCATTTGGCCATGAGCTTCGATTTGTACGAAAGCTTGGCAATCGGAACAATCGGAATTGGACGTTTGCGACTGAGAAGATAGACTCAACACCATCTCGAACGATCTTCGTTGACTACGCAACAACATCGAGCTACGAAGAAGAAGAGCTGAAAAGGTTCCATATTGTAAGAGTCAGACCCTACTTATTGAACGACCAATGAGGGCAAGGGATGAATCATCGGATAGTTCGCAGCCAATATTCAAGCTTACAGAGCGTCGAGAGAACCGAGGCGGAAGCGAACAACGGAGGAGGAGGAGCCTAGAGTAGCATCAAAGGACTCGCCGGCCCGGCAACCTCGAATCAAGGACGCTTCCTTGTTCGCTGTGTACTGCTGTACTGGTGCTTCAAATATTCCTGACAAATTGCTGAAAGTAATCGTGTGGATCTCTGCAATCAACGTGAATGTCAACTGTATGATCGGCTATTAAAAAAGAACCATGCTTTTTTCAAGAACATCGGCGAATACAGCGCTATGAGTAGCCTCCGAAAACTAAGTATCGAAACTTTTGGAATGAAATGTGTAGGTGAAAGACGGTCTGTCTTCTCTATCAACAAACACCAACCATGGCGATTGGCAGTTCAGGTGCCCTGTCGACTGTTGATCGATATTGAATTTTGAAGGTATCTAATGCGAATTTTCGAGAATATTCCTTCATCGACAGCCTGTATCTCCAGTATGACCTGCCATCCCGCTAATCATCGATTTCTTCGAGCGGGCGCCAGTAACGTCTCCATTCGTCCATTTCACGAGCCAGAGTGGTCCAGTGAATCGTCCTTACTTAAAGGCACAGCTCACGTTAATTTTGGGGTATCCGGTTTTTTGGCGAAATTTTACAAAAAATGTTAGATACGGCCTACAATAGTACAATGGTAATAAAGAAAACGCGAAAAAAGATGAATATAAAGAAATAGACAGCTACAAAAACAAAGGAAA